GCCTAGGGGGCCCCGGGGCTGGCGGGTCCCCCACATCCCCGATGTCCCCACGGGTCAGGGTCCCCGGGGTGGCCCCTTGGGCCCGCTGTCATCGCTTGTCCCCCACATCCCCGACGTCCCCAATGTCCCCGTGGATCAGGGCGCCACGGGTGCCCCCTCGGTCTCGCTGGTCGCTGCTGTCCCCCGTGTCCCCGACGTCCCCATGGGTCACGGTGCCGTGGGTGCCCCCTCGGTCTCGCTGTCGCTGCTGTCTCCCATGTCCCCGAGGTCCCCGAGGTCCCTGATGTCCCCGTGGGTCAGGGCGAAGGGTGGCAGCTCCTCGTCGGAGGAACCCAGAGAGTCCTCGTCCCCCAGGCGTGTCCCCAGCCCCACCGCCCCGAAGGCCAGCGGCCCCCGCAGCAGCCGGATCTGCGGGGACAGGGGACAAGGGACATGGGAACACGATGGGTGATGGGACAAGGGGATGGGGACAGGGGGACAGGGATGGGGCCAAGGTGACAGGGGATGGGGACAAGGGGACACGATGGGTGATGGGACACGGGGATGGGGACAGGGGGACAGGGATGGGGCCAAGGTGACAGGGGATGGGGACAAGGGGACACGATGGGTGATGGGACACGGGGATGGGGACAAGGTGACACAGGGACAAGGGGATAGGGACAGGGGGAGAAGGAGGGGAAACGATGGGTGATGGGACACGGGGATGGGGACAAGGTGACACAGGGACAAGGGGATAGGGACAAGGGGAGAGGGACAGGAAACGGGACAAGGGACATGGGAAGAAGATGGGTGATGGGACAAGGGGATGGGGACAAGGGGATGGGGGACAAAGGGACAGGATAGGGACAGGGGGACAATGGGACATGGGAACAAGGGGATGGGGGACAAGGGGACAGGGTGGGGACAAGGGGACATGGGGACAGGATGGGGACAGGGGGACAAGGGGACACAGGGACAAGGGCATGGGGGACAAGGGGACAGGATGGGGACAAGGGGACATGGGGACAAGGGCATGGGGACAGGATGGGGACAGGGGGACATGGGATAAGGGGACAGGGAACAAGGGGACAGGGACAAGGGGATGGGGACAAGGGGACAGGGGATGGGACAGGGGACAAGGAGATGGGGGACAGGGACAAGGGCATGTGGGGAAAGGGACAGGGAAGAAGGGGATGGGGGACAAGGTGACAGGGACAAGGGGACACGGGTAGGGGACAAGGGGACGGGGACAGGGACAAGGGGACAAGGAAGGAGCGGGGGGGGGAGAGAAGGGGACAAAGGGACGGGAGGGGACAGGAGGGGACAAGGGACAGCAGAGAAGGGGAGGAGGGAGGAGAGACGGGGAGAGACATTGTCACCAGCTGCCCCGGTGCCACGTGGCCCCGCGGGGACAGCGCCGATGGCACCGAGGGGACGTCGCCGATGGCGCCAGCGCCCAGCGCAGCCCCGCCTGGGGACTGTCCCCGAGGTGTCCTGGCCTTGGGGACACGGGGGACCCTTCCCCGGGGCGGGGGGTGACCCCACCGTGCTGGGGTCAGGGGACGATGTCCCCGGGGGGTCACCCCCCGCCCCGGGGAAGGGGCCCTGAGGCATTGTTGGGGGGCCAGACG